GCGCTGTCCATCTTTTTTTTTTTTTTTTTTTTTTTTTGGTTTTTCGAGACAGGGTTTCTCTGTGTAGCTTTGCGCCTTTCCTGGAACTCACTTGGTAGCCCAGGCTGGCCTCGAACTCACAGAGATCCGCCTGGCTCTGCCTCCCGAGTGCTGGGATTAAAGGCGTGCGCCACCACCGCCCGGCCTGTCCATCTTTCTGTAATGTCTAAAGGTCTCTTGCATACATCTGGAAGAGATCCATCCATACAGTGTGCTGTCTTCAAGGGCTTTCTGTAAGGAGACTCTCTCTCTGCAGGGAGTACAATTGTCCACAGAAATCTATGACAGTTGGTTTTAATTGTTAATTGACACTATCTAGAACTACCTGGGAAGGAAGTCTTACAGAGGAGTTGTCTGTATTACCTTAGCTTCTGGGCATGTCTAAAAGGGATTTTATTAATTAGGTTAATTGAGGTGGAAGATGCACCCTGAAGGTGGTCAGCTAGGCCCAGGACTAAATGAGAGAGCAAACTGAGTGCTAGCATGCATGCATGCATGCATGCATTCATTATTGCTCTCTGCACTTAACTGTGACCTCCATTGCCTCAAGTTCCTGTTGCCTTGACTTCCCTTCAGTGATGGATTGTCAGCTGGACTTGTGAAGCAAGTTGTTAGGTCTCTCAGGATGTCCAAATATCCAGAAATGAACAAAACCTGGACTGTAGGAGGATTTCTGGAGATTAGATAAAAGCCAGCATTCCTCAGGAACTTGTGAAGCTGGTCCTCATCTGCCAGAAGGAGTCATTTCCCTGACCTCTGGCAGAAGGGTCTTACGACTCCATTGAAATATCTTTTGGCACCTGTCAGCATATCAAAGCCCACGCTGGCCTCCCGGCTCCCTCAGTATCACAAATACCTGTTATACATTTCAAATCCATGCTAGCATCCTGGCCTTTCTTACCTCCTCCTCTCCCCTAAACGCAATCCAGCTCACAGGCTCCCCGCAGCTACTCATACTCCTTCCAACCCGCTGTTCTCTACTATTCTGTTCTCTACTGTTCTCTACCCCCGACTCTCTCTTATTCTCACTAGTGTCTCTCACACTGTGCTCTATTCTCTGTCTCTTGTGATCTCCATATCATCACTGTTCTCTCTCACTCTCCCACTTCTCTAGCCCTGACTATGTCTAGTCTGCCAAGCCTCGCTCAGTCCACTTCTTTCTCTCTCTGGTCTGGACTCTTCCAGATGTCTCTGTTCTTCGCTCACTCATATCCACAGTAAAAACCTTCCCTAATAATGGAGCAGCCCTGTAGGCAGTTGCTTTCCTGCTCTTCCTGGCATACACAAATAAACCTCTCCCTCCCTTAAATTGCTTTTACTGGGGTATTTTATCACAGCAACAGGAAGTGAAACTTAGACACATTTTTTTTTTTAACTTGAGGATCCTCTGTAGTATGGCTCTGAAGACTGTCTCCTGTTGGGTCCCCTCATTTTTTTTAACTGCATAAGAAGAATCATGATGCTTGAATCTGTTTAGTCTTATCATAAAAACCAGGAGTCAAATATTGGGTTAATAACTTGAAAGATCAGAGAAGCAGAGGAGCAGCCACTAGTGACTTCTTACCTCTCCAGATCCTCAGACCAAAAGTGGGGGATCCTGTCTCCATCCGCCTTATATAACTGTATCTACCTCCCAATTGTGCTAGGATCAAAGGCATGAGCCTCCCAAGTGCAGGGATTAAAGGTGTGAGCCACCACGGCCTGGTCTCTATGGTTAGATAGTGGCCAGCTCCGCCCTCTGATCTCCAGGCAAGCTTTGTCAGAACATAAGCAAAATATCACACAACAGAATCACCCAACAGCTTGTGTGTGAGTCTCACAGAAACTCCTACTCTTGTTGACCTCCACCCTCTTTAGCTAAGAGACAACACTGGAGGCTGCTGTAGCTGAAGCTATTCTTTTAGGACCAGTAGGAGGCAAAGAATTCAGATCATATAGAGCATTGATTGCCTTGGAGGGTACGGACCAGGCCTTCCCAGGAGGCAGAAGCACCATGGGTAGTAATTTCATTTTGACAGAAGCAATATTCTCATTCTTATTTATTTATATTTTTAAAGATTCACTTTTATTTTTAAGTCTGTGTCTCTGTGTGTGTGTGTTGTATATGCAATGCCTTTGGAGGAGAGAAAAGGGTGTGGGATCCCTGGTGTTGCAGGGATAGGCCATTGTGGGCTGCCAGACACAGGTGTTGTGGAACCAAACCTGGTTCCTTTTCAAGAACTGGACATTCCCTTAACCACTGAGCCAACTCTCCAGCCTGTCGTTCTTGTTTTGACATTGGATCATAAAACAAAACCTCGTCATCACTTCCTCATCTCTGTAGATGCTAGTTTAGCACAGGACTATACAAATGGTGCATTCACCATCATGGCTTGATCCCAGATAAAAACAGGTCTGTCTTAGATTCCTTTGTTGGAAAATATTGCCCGGCATCTGCCAAGTAGGTCTCAGGGAGCTGAGAGTTGCAGTTGAACTCATTATACAGATCAAAGTGATCTTGTTCACGCTGAACACAGCTTGGGTGGGAGACATCCAGCCATTAGTGTACACACTTGACAGTACAATTGAAGAAAGCCTACCATAGCTGACCTTAGTTATGAGTGTTCAAAGGAAGCTTTGTTGAGAAATGACTCTTTAAATGAAATCTGACTTAATCAAAGGAGAAGGAAATTTTCTACACCAAAGAAACAGCATAGTCAAAGGCCCAGAGGAAAGTAAGGGCTGTATGATTTGGAAGACTTGGGACCATATGACTGCTGATATCGACCATCAAACTGATGCTACTTAAAATCTCCATGAAACAATCCTTTGGGCTTGTCTGTGAGAGAGTTTCTTGATTGGGTTAACTGAGGCAGGAAAACCACCCAAATTCATGGGTGGTACAATTCCATGGGCTGGAGTCTCAGACTGAATAAAGAGAAGAAAGAGATCTGAGTACCAGCATTTATCTGCTTTTGCTTCTGAACTGTTGCTCCACTGTGACCAGCTGTCTCACGCTCCTGAGGCAGACCAGACCCTTCCTTCCTTAAGCTGGCTTTATTAGGTGTTTTGTTATAGCAATAAGAAGAGTGAATGACATCTAAGACATGTCCAGCTCAGTTGTGACTCTGTCTCCTGGTGTGTCAGTCCTAAACATATGTCCCCTTGAATTCACATTGGGTATACAACATGCTTCAGCTAATCTAATTTGATTTAACTTGCATTTTGACTTAAAAGCCAAGATCAGAACGAGGCTTCTGGGAAAAGCTGTCCAGTCATGGCCGATCTTCCGGCTCATGGCTCCTGCTGAGGTGCTAATGGTGTGAACTCAGCTGGCATGCACCGGGAAAGGAAGAGAGTGGTATTAGGGCAAGCATGGCCTAAAGAGCAGGCTCAGTGGATACCGGTGCTTGCTGCACATGCATGAGGAGCTGCTTGAATCCCCAGGACACATGTTAAAAGACAGCATGGTTGCATGTGCACCTGTATTTTTAATGCTGTAGGGGATGAAGCCAGAGGGAGTGGTTGGGGCTTTCTGACTGCTAGCCTAGCTCCAGATTCCTTGTCTTAAGTGAGTAGGGTACATGTAAGCATGGGTACAGGTACTTATGCATGCATGTGTATCCCTTACCTCCCAACGTGTAACACACACACATATACACAAAAGGAGGGTGCACATACCCATCCCTAACAGCAGTAGCCGGGAGACTACAGTAATTGTGCCATCAGTTTGTGTTCAGGTCTCTAACGCGCACACACAATGGCTGCACCGCTAGACTACAAGGTTATAAGGCATGAAGCTCACAGGACCCCTCCCACTTCTGATCACATGATTTCCATCTCCCTTTTTTGTGTTTAGCGTCCCTTTCTGACTGCAACATCCAAGTTGCGCCACCAGATCCACACGCCATGCATCTATTCTTGAGATGACAATTACTCCTCTCTCAGATGCCCCCATCTCCTTTGTCCCTCTTCTGAAGCCTCAGCCTTGCCATCCAGTTACAGCTCACACTGGATCACGCTCCCCGATCAGCTCCACCCTTACTTATCTTGTATGAACTGTGTGCAGGTGGCAGGATCCTGGTCTTGGGAGAAGAAGAATTTTTTTCTGACTCCTCTTTCTTAGCTTTCGTTGAGTTTGGGGAGTGGTATCACATGACGTTTTGGAATTAGGGAATGGGATTTTGTCATAGGAATGTATATTACTGGATTAATATTTTAAGATGAATATTTAAGAAACATTTTTCCCTCAGTATGTGAGTACATGGTGCTTGCATGTGTCCTATTGATTTTTCAGACATTATAAAAGCAAGGCCTGCGATGGTGGGATGCATGGGTGGAACTTCGGGACTACTGAGACTAGTTCCACATCCTGACTGACGACAGGCTCCAGCTGCTGATGAGCTCAACCACCCTCGATGCTTAAGGAACTTGAACTGAGAAAAAAATCCATGTCACTGTTCTGAGCAGTGTTGGAAGTAGGTGGGAGATAAGCATCTTGGGGCATTTACTCTGAGACATTTAAAAGACACGTTTCCACTATTTCTATTGCTTGGTGTCTTCATTTCTTTTCCTGTTGTGATAAAATACTCCGACAAAAGCATGTTAAAGGAGAGGAGATTTAATTCATCTCACAGTTCCAAGTTACAGTCCATCCTGTTGGGGAAGTCGTAGCAGCCGGAGTTTGAAGCTGCTGGTCACATCCTATCCATAATCAGGAAGAAGAGAAGTATGAGTACATGCTGGTGCTCAGTTAATTTTCTCCATTTTATAGAGTCCAGGATCTCTTGTCTAGTGAACAGTCCCACTGACAGTTAAGAATGTTCTTCCTACATCGATTAACATAATCAAGATAATCCCTCACAGGCTTGCCCAAAGGCCCATCTCCAAAGTGATTCTAGATTGTGTCAGAATGACAACAATAACACTAAGCCCCACACTTATGTGCTATATGTGTATTATATTTTTATATAGGAAACCGTCAACAGGACTCCAGAAATGAAGAAAGGAAGAAACCACGAGGAAGTGCCCTGGGAACGGAGGAGCAGTGTAGAGGAGAACATCGTGGGTGTCTTTGACCTCATGTATGTCAGACCTGTAGCAATCACAACAGACAACCACAAATTAAAATGATAGGCTCAAGTCCTAACACATCAGTGATTACTGATATTAGCAGTGTAAATATACCAGTTGAAAGATGGGGCTTGCAGGCCAGAAACAAAACCCACAACTAAATAAGCCATGGTCAAAGGGGAAGGTGCCAAGGAAATTAAAAACATGACTTGAAAGAAAATGAAAACGTGGGGCTGGAGAGGTGGCTCCGTGGTTATGAGAAAACACTGTTCTTGTTTAGGTCTTGGGTTTGTTTCCCAGTGCCCAAGTCAGGCAGTTCACAAGCTCCTGTAACTCCAGCTCCATGAGATCAGACACCGTCTTCTGGATTCTGTGAGCAACTCACTCATGTGTACATACCCACCCCCCACCCCCTCACACATATAGAACACAAAATTTAAAATAATAAAATAAATCTTTTTTTGTTTTGTTTTGTTTTTCGAGACAGGGTTTCTCTGTGTAGCTTTGTGCATTTCCTGGAACTCACTTGGTAGCCCAGGCTGGCCTTGAACTCATAGAGATCTGCCTGGCTCTGCCTCCTGAGTGCTGGGATTAAAGGCATGCACCACCACTGCCCGGCAATATATCTTTTAAAAATGAATAAAATGTATCAGAAGTGTGGTGAAAGCTGAATGAGAAGTTTATAGCCCCCAAATACATATTAGCAAAGGGGCAAAAGTACAAATGTATAAACTGTGAGCAGAAACATAGAAAAAATAGACTGGACAGTAGAGGAAGGGAGGAAATAATATGTGTAAAAGCAGATATCAGTAACGTTGAAAGCAAAACATGACAGAGAGACAACAATGAAACACGGATGAACCTTTGAGAAAATAAAAGAAATTGATAAGAATATAGCAAAACTAGCACAAAAAATATAGATGGCACAAATTAAATATAATTTATTTAATATATTATATAAATTATATATAAAGACCCAAGTGGGCTGCTACTGTAGTTACTGCAAAGCCTGAAAGGGGAGTGAAAGGTGCTACAAACAGCTCCCTACTTTTCTTTCTACAATCTAGACTGAGTGGATCAGCTCAAAACCATCCACTATGAACTGGATGTTGTAAGCAACTGTAAGTATTAAGGAAATATAGTTCATATGAAGGTGTAGTGGTCCATACCTATAATAAGAGCAATAAAAGACTGAAACAAATAGTTTGAAGCAAAAATGGATAACACAGTAAGACACTGTCTCAAAATAAGCAAGCAAACAAACAAACAAAACCACCCCTGTAAATTTTCAGGCTCGTTTTTTTGGTGAGGAAGGGAAATTCTAGTAGAAAATAATTAATTATAATTCCATATATTTTCTTACATATGGTTAAGAGAAGGAAATACTTCCCAATTAATTGAAAGCTCCTGTTCCCTTGATGTCAAAATCAAGAATAATAAAAACAAGCAAAATGAGGCATGACAGACAAATATCCATTAAGAATCTAGCTGCAAATGTATTTACCAAAAGGAGCTCAGCAATACATAAAATATGAGGTTTACTTCACATGTAAAGGATGATCAATGTTGGAAAATCAATCTTTGTAATCTACCATATCAACAAATTGAAGAAGAAAAACCACATGATAATATTAATTAATGAAGACAGAACATTGAATAAAATTCAATACCTATTCATAATTAAAAAAAGAACTCTCAGAAAATTAGAACCAATGAGTAACTTCTTCAAATACATAATTAACATTACAAAGAGCCTACAGCCTATGGTCTTCTTCCTAGTGAAAGTTGACTATTTACCTCATGGCTGAGAGCAAGGCACAACTGACTCATATTGTTCTCTTCAACATCTCTGCAGCATGCTTAATGCTGTAGCCAGTGCAATAAGGCAAGAAAAGTGCAATAAAGGCAGGAGAAGCAATTCAAAGGCAAGCAGGTTGAAATAAAAGAAGAAAAATCGTCTCTGCATGCAGATGCTAGGATTGTCTAGGTAGAAAAACCTAAGGCAGTGGTTCTCAACCTGTGAGTCATGACCCTTTTGGGCAGTCAACAACCCGACAACCTACAGGGGTCACATATCAAATATTCTGCACATCAGTTTTTGCATTACAATTTATAACAGTGCAAAATTAGTTATAAAGTAGCAATGAACCATAATGTTATGGTTGGGGGGGGCAGTCACCACAACATGAAGAACTGTATTAAAAGGTCACAGCATAGGGAAGGTTGAGAACCACTACCCTCAGAAATTTATAGATCAATTCTTAGAACTAACAAATTCAGCAAAAAACAGATGACTCAAGATAAATGTAAAAATCCACTGCATGTCTACATACCAACCGTTAACATGTGGGCCCCTCATTTATATATTAAAAACAAAAACAAAAAACCCTAAGTTTGTAAATCTAAATAAATTAACTAATATTTTAAATTAATGAAATATGTACAGGATATTTTAACAGCTAAAGAACATGAATTAACAATGCAAAGATTTTTTTCATTTCTTAAAATCTTTATTTATATGTGCATGCTCACGTGTGTGAGTGAACACATATGGGTATGAAAGTGGAGGCCCAAGGTTAATCTCTCTGTCTTTCCTAAGTTTCTGTCCACCTTGTTCAGCCAGTGAGCCTTCCTATGCTCGGACGACGACTGTCCACCATCATGCCTGTTTTTCCTTATTGTTTGCGTTGTTGTTTTTACATGGATTTTGCAGATTGAACTTGAGTCTTTGTGATTACATGGCAGACATTTATTGATCGAGCTGTCTCCCGTGCCCAAAGCAAAGATTTAAGTAAGATAAAGGAAGGTATGTAAGGATTAGGAAACTTGGTAGAGCCAAAGTGGCAATTATTCTTTGTGCTATAGTCTTGTTATAGTTTAAAAGTGAAATGCCTTCTACCGTCTCATGTATTTGAGCAGTTCATACTCATTTAGTGCCACTATCTTGAGAGATAGTATGATCTTTTGAAACTCAGCTGACATAGGTATGAAGGGCTGTAGGGTTGGGGCTGATGGATTATATTTATCTTGATTCTAAGTCAAATCTCTTTAAGATTTCTGGTCCTCCAGCTAAGAGCAGACCATGGAGCATCTCACAGCCATGCCTTCCTCATGATTATGATGAAAGTATTCCTTGTATTACTTCAAGCACAGAGACAGGCATGCCAATGCTGAGCTTCTCTCTTTGTATTCACTTCAGGATTCCAGCCTATGGGAGGTACCATACACATTAGGGGTGAGTCTTCCCACTGCAACCAACCAAGTCTAGATAATCCTTCACAGACATTCCCAGAGGGTTGTTTCCATGCTGATTCCAAATCACATTTTGTTGACAACCAAGGCTGTCAGAACAGTTGTGTAGCATCTTCCACATTGAAATATTCTTCTAGGAGTGAGGAAGTGTCGGTGGGTGGGGGTGGGGGTCATGGAACTTGGCAAATAAACAACTCACAGTTCTCAGGAATATCCTGAAACTAGTAAGATTCACAAGGCCCCTCTTTAAGGTTATGGCAGAAGTAAATAACTGCTCGAGACAGGAGACTCTGACCAGCCAAATTGTCTCTAGGAGATTTTCTGACCTTGTGAGCTGCATGCAAGTTTCACAGGAAGCTCCAGGGTTACAGCCTCTGTGACTCATCACTTAGGCTAGGGTGGATTTTAACTAAAGAGATTGTGTAAATAATACATTTCAACATCACTATTAGAGAAATACCAATTAAAACCACAATGAAGTAGCACCATACATTTATCAGGATATTTAAACTACAAAACAGTGATACCAAGAAATGCTGGCCAGGGTATAGAGCCACTGACTCACCAGTGTTGTTGATGGGAATACATATGGCAAACTTTTGGAAACAACTGGACAATGTCTTAGTTCCCGTCTTAGTTACTTTTCTATTTCTGTGACAAAACTTCATTTCCAAGGCAACTGAAAAAGAAAGCATTTAAGTGAGCTTAAGATTTCAGAGTTAGAGTCCTTAGTGACAGAGTCAAGATGTGATTGCAGGAAGAGCTGAGAGCTTACGTCTTGAGTCACAAAGTAGCAGACAGGGAGAGCACACTGGGAATTGTGGGAATCTTTTGAAGCCTCCAAGCTTGCTCCCAATGACATCCCTTCTACCAAGGCCACCCCACCTAAATATCTCCAAAGAGCCACCCACTGGAGAACAAATATTCAAATGCCTGAGATTTATGGGGGTTATCTTATTCAAACCAGCATGGTTCCTTTTCTTGGTGACAAAGGCAAATTAAGGGAGAAGTGGGTATTTTTGACTTACAGTTCCAGGCTACAGTCCTTCATGGCAGGGAAGTCATAGTGAAGGAGCTTGAGGGAGTTAGCCATCTTGCATCTACAGTCAAAAAGCAAAGGATGATTGATCACTTCTGCTCTGCTCCCTGTCTTCTTTTTATACAGTCCAGGATACCTAGCCAAAGGAGTAGTTCCACTCATACTCAAGATATGTCTTCCTACATCAATTAATGCAATCCAGACAATTACAAATATCTCAGGTGACTCTATAGTCTGTCGAGCTGACAATTAACCCTAGCCATCACAAGCAGTTTCTTAAGACAATAAAAATCAAGTACCAGTGATTAAACTTTTGGACATGCATTCCAGAGAAATAAGAACTAGTACCTGCACAAAACCTCTCCCTGGATGCCTACTGGCATCAAATTATTCATAGTAGCCCAATAGTAGAAAGAGCTCCACTTGCTTTATTTGTGTGAATGACAAAATGGTGGCACATCCATGCTGGGAAATTCTAGTCAGTAATAAGATGCAGTATGTGCCTATGTTCATCCAACAACTTGACTAATCCTTAGCAAACTATGCTGGCTGAAACACTCCTGTTCTCAAATGTTGCATACTCTATAATTCTAGAAATAGAATGTCCTCAAAATTATAAAATTCTAGAACTTACATATTTATGGTGCCAAAGACTAAATATAGGTTGAGGGAGGGAAGGAGTAACATGTGGGTAACCAAAAGGGATCTGAGGGATTATAAGGGACCCTGTGGGATTATAAGGATGCTCTAGGTCTTGAGTGCATCAATGTCAGGATCTTGGTTTGTGATGTTATCCTCAAGTTAATATCATTGGGGGACAATCTTATAAAGATATGTTAGCCTTTTAATATCATTCATTCCAACATAGTGACATACATGAACAACCCCAAATAAAATTCTGTGGATAATACTTTCAAGATGAAATTAGAAGTTGGAAATTGATTTTCAATTTAATTTCATAATAGGAAGGCTTTTTTATTTTTAAATTTCAAGCACCTATTGATACGTTGATGATGAGTTTAGTTGAAGTATCTCTAGGTTCTGTGTATCACTGAAAAACTTTGATGAGCTATGTTGGACAGTGTCTGGACATAGGTTGGAGTGGGAAAGAAGAGAAATTTGTTTTCCACCTTAGGTATACAGTGGGCCTTGGAATTTACCTTTCAAATTTCAAGGGACAAGTCTACACTAACAACCAGCACCTTTAAGAGACATTCATAAAGAAAACGATTCCATGCTTCACAGTTGTAGCCGAAAAAATACATGCTTGATGGATGATGGGCCTGATGGCTGTGCCTGTTAGGTTAATGTCCTAGTTCCCTTTCCATTCCTGTGGTAAATATCCCAACTAAAAGCAATTTGGGGAAGAAAGGATTTATTTTAGCTCATTGTTGCAGGTTACAATTCATTATTATGGGGAGGTCAAGGCAGCGGGCCCTTGAGTGATCGATATAATTTTAAGTCACCAACTTCAGTCGTGGTGTGTGAGTCCAGCAAAAGTTGACTGAAATCATTTTACAGCTGGAGCCCACTAGTTCAGCTAAGTTCACTAACCATCGAGCTCTGGGGACCAACCTGTCTCTGTGTCCCCAACATGCTGGCATCACAGGACTACATTGCTGCGCCGGCTTTTTACAGAATGCAGGGGATTTACACACAGGTCTTTGGGGTTGATCAGCAAGCACTCTTCCCCAGTGAGCTATTTCCCCAGGCTCTGGCTCTGCCTATCTTGATGTTAAAATCATCTCTTAAAGGAAGAAGGTATTTCTCATACTTTCAAGTGGACTTTCTTTGACAGCTATAAATGCCAGCTGTGTCCTACTGCGAGCGATGAGATGTTCACCCTCACGGTGGCAATTCTGTTTCTATTGATTTTCTTGTAGAGAAATTTTGGTCACAGCCCACATTGCCCATAAAGCTTTTATGTCATCATTAATATTGTAGCATCCTAGAGACTTGGTTTTATTTAGTGCTCTTTTATGTGCTGAATGGAGTTGCAGGCTGTCCAGTCTCCCAGGAAGCCACAGTGAGTCAGGATAGTTCATAATGCTCTCAGGTTCTCGCTCTTCTCAATGCAGAACACTCAACACACACTTGCTCGTCCATTTTTTTCTTTCTGTAGCTTTTGCACATTTGCATTACTGGACTTTGACACATTGCACTAGATTCCAGTTTTTTTCTTGAGGACAGGAATTGTGTTGAGTTCTCTGTGTTGTACTCTTCATGATTGTGTTCATAGCACGCTAAGTACAGCCCAAAAGTTGGGTGATTGGAGGATTGTGTTTAATTCAACTCAATCATTTACAAATGACTGTAGACTCTCTATCATACCATGGATAGTGAGGGAATATTTTTTCCCCAGAATAATGAATGAGATAGATATGACCTTTTTTCTCTCACAGATTAAATCCCAGTTACCAGGAATGACCATTATATCTGGAGCGGGGTGATGTTGATATACAAGCAGAAGGCTTGGAGATGGCTTGTCAGGTAAAGCACTTGCAACATAAGTGTGGAAAGCGGATCTTGGATGTCTAACACTCATGGATGCTGGGTGGTATTGTGGCCAACCTGAAATTCCAGTACTTAGGAGGCAGAGACAGCGATTTCTGGAGCAAGCTGGGTAGATAGACTATCCAAATCCATGAGCTCTGAGTTCAAGCAGACACTCTGATTCAATATACAAGGTTGACAGTAATTGAGGAAGACACCCAACAGCATCCTCTGGCCTCTTCATAAACAGGCACAGCCGTACACGCTCACTCACATCACGTGCATACTGTGCCTCTATTCGTGCAAACATGAATAAACATGCAAATACACAAAAGCACATGCAAACACATGTAAACAATGAAAGTACCAGCAGGATCTCAAAGAGATTTGATTTGTGTGGAGCGAGTGGGGTAAGCCTCTGACTTTGCTGAACAGTGTTTCCTGAAATGAGACAACTCAGGGGCGCACGGCACTGGATGAGGGGCTATTGCAGGAAGGAAGACTGTGCAAACACTCAGGCATGGGAATGTTCTGGAGTGAAAAGAAAGCTGTCCAACAAGGGGTAGAGAGAGGTAGACTTCCATCTCCTAACCACTTGATTCTCGTGTGTGTGCTGTGTGGAAAGCAAGGTGCCCAGTGGGATTCCTTAGAGGTGTGTGCTATTGAGTCCTGGGATTAGAGCATAAAGCATGGCTCTGGGGGAAAGGTATCAGTTAACCTTTGATTTATCCATGGTAACTGAAGTAGAAGACAGACTGTGAGTGGGACAGAACCTGCATATAAGGAAGGCATGAAGGACCTGAGACAGAACCCTGAAAGGACCATGTAGAGGACTGGCAGAGGGGGGGCTTAGTAGAGAGAGGGAGGGGAGCTGAGGGAAAAGGGTGTGACAAGGGGGAGGGAGATGCTGACTAAGCTCATGCTGGGAGTTGGAGGGTCCCCTGCCACAGCTCCTTCTGCCCCCTCAACACAGTGTGGCACGTCAACCACCTCTTACCTTGTAGTCTCCTTCCTGCACATCTGCCCTCCCAGCTCTCCATCCCTGCACTTCTGAGTCCCTGTGTGCAGGCCAGCATCCAAAGGGTGCTCAACTTGCTGCAACTCCTAGCTGAGGATGGCCTCCATACACCTGCACTTGTAAATTTGGCCTAAAGGCTCTCCATGCATAGTGAGTTGCAATCTACCTTGATGCTTAACAGCCTAAATCTTCTCTTATATCAAGTAGCGGAGTCTCGACCAGTTACAGCAGCCAGCTGTTCAGACTGTGATTAAATGAGACAGGAGTTGTAACCAGCTGTGCTGCCTCTGCAGCCCATATCTATCTTCAGTCTGCCTGTCTTCCTTCTATCTGGCCATGGGTAAAATCTGCCTCGGCTGTGGTGTTGAGCACTCAGAACCAGTTTTGATCCCACCTGCTGCTGAGTCCAAACAACTAGGTTTGTTGCAATTTTTCTTTTTAACAAAAGTTACCTACTTATGGAAGCAATTCCTTCCTTCCCTCTTACGACCCTGAATCCAATGGTCTTGCTCTTGAGTTCTCCAAACACCCAGTGACCTCACCATCCTCGTCATGTTTTATGATGCACTTCCCTACACTCCAACTTAAAGATTTCATAGCAGTGGTATATTTGAGATGAGTGGAATGCTAGGAAGTAAAATGACCAAGTAAGGCACATTGTTAGGTATGGTGACACTGGACATCTGAAGATGAGCCCCAGGGGAAGCTGTGAGCAATGTATGGCGTATGAATTTTCCTGGCCCAGGAGTCAGGGATCTGGAGTGCATGTGTAATAAATCCCAATATTCATTGATTCAGGGCTGTGTGTCCGTCTTTCTCACTGCAGGCAGAATAGTAACCTTATACCATTCTGGAAAAAACTTCTAGGCACAGAAATACAGATCTTGGCAGATGGAATCTGCTGCCTTCACTAGAATTATTGAAGGCAGATGAAAATAGATGGGTCACAGACTGCATCTCCCTCAACGTACCACACACAGAATGTCTGTCTATCCATCTGTCTATCTGTCTATCTATCTATCTATCTATCTATCTATCTATCTATCTATCTATTATCTATCTGTCTTCTATCTTTCTATTATCTATCTATCTATCATCTATCTATCTATCTATCATATATCATCTATCTACCTATTTAGCATATACCTATGTTATATTATATTACTCTATGTATCTATAATCTAATAAACTCTTCATTTCTACCTCCCAATCATCTGTCTCTCATCTATCTGATACAGGCTTTGAGTATAGCTGGACCTCTCTCTGCCCAGATGTGCTGGACCCAAAGACCAAGGTCGTCAAGTACTCAGGGTCACCAAAATTGAGCTGGGACAATAACTCCTGAGTCTTTTGTCTCACACTGAGATTAAAGATACAGATCCTTGTGGGAGCATGCAAAACAGAAACAAGCATTAAGGACAGTTACAGAAAAATGAGAAGGCAAGGAAAGATCAAAAATTAAGAAAAAATAAGAAACTGAGAGTGGAATGGTTTCCAAGACATAAAAATCCACTGAACTCCTTTGTTGTATGGGTTTTATAAGGCCATGGCAGAAACCAGGAACAGGCAGAGATAACGGCTGTAAGAATGACTAGTTCTCTGAGCTGTCGTGGGCTGAGTCTATGGAGGCCCTACATGCTCTGTGCATGTCCCCTGGGCAACCAGGAAGATGACCATGTGTTCATATGTTGCTCACTCACCCAGTTAGTGAGGGTTAGTGAATCCAGTTAGTGAACCTCCCTGTCTCCATCTCTGATTTTGGCTTTGTTGGTTGTTGACCTTGACTATCTGCTAGTTGTTAGTTACTCTTTGGCATTGCTGCTTGAAGGCTATGTAGGCTGCCTAAGCTGTGCTACTGATAAATTCATGGGAAGGGATACAAAAGGGCCACTTCCTCAGGGAATCTCTGATGTCATTCAAATCCAAGTATTTCCTCTTGGGCTGGTAGGGTTCCAGGGAGTGTTGAGTTATAGACCCTCTAAGTGCTGTTTCTCTCTCTCTCTCTCTCTCTCTCTCTCTCTCTCTCTCTCTCTCTCTCTCTCTCTCTCTCCCCCCCTCCCTCTCTGTGTGTATGTTTCCCAGAAATCAACACCACCTGCAGATCTCTCAGATAGATTTGATAAGGAAAGCACACTGTGGCCATGTCTATCCTTTCCTCTGGCGACAAGCCAGTTTCTGACCAGCTTTTATGTCAACTAGACATGAGCTAGGCTCATCTGGGAAGAAGTAACATTAATTGGGAAACTCTTTCCATCAGATTGCCTACAGGCAAGTCGTTAGGGAATTTTCTTGATTAATGATTGATGTGGGAGGGCCCAATGCACTGGGGGTGGTGCCAACCCTGGACTGGAGGTCCCCAGTACTGTAAGAAAGCATATTGAGCAAACCATGGGAACAAGCAGGAAAGCAATGTTTGTCCATGGCTTCTGCTTCAGTTCCTGCCTCCAGTTTTCTGCCCTGCCTTGAATACCTGCCTTGACTTCTGTCAGTGATGAACTATTACCCGGAAGAGTAAGTGAAATAAACTTTGCCCCCCTCAAGTTGTTTTTGGTCATGGTATTCTATCACAGCAATAGAAACCCCACCTAAGACAGAGCACTCCCCCTCCATGGACAGACTCAGGACAGTTTTTGAATTATTTAGCTTTATCCTTTTCTGGTGCCTTCCTCTATGGCTCCTGGCATGGAAGCTGTGTCACATAGTATGGAATCCCTCTCCTATTCTGAAAACAAACCTATTACCATCATAAAATACTTTCCGTTTTTGGAAGTAAAGGGTCTGAAGGCTCCCTTCTGTGCTATATTGCTATAAACTTCACAATAAGGCTTTTCTAAAGGGTGACTTACCTCAGTTTTCCTTCTACTGAACCTGGAACATGAATATATAACCTAATATTTAAATCAGGGAGCAGTGTGCCGGTGGCATGGTAGAATCCTGAGATTTTAGTAGGTCCAAAGGCGGCCGTAGGTAAGGGTGGTGTAAAGGGCAGGAGTGGGAGGTGGGGGGCTCGTCACATTCTTTCTGTAGCTATTTACTTAATCAATTTCAAAGCATGAAAGCGCAGAAAGACACTTGAACTAACTTAGCAGGTACAGAAGGATGAAGACAAGAAACGGCTCAGTATATCCACGCTATCACCCCAACCTCAAACAATATAGAATGTGGACGCCTGCACGAACAGGTGCAGTAGGGTGTAACACCTTCACATAGCAGATGGAGCAGCAAGCCTCCAGTGCCCTCCAGTGCTGCCAGAGAACCAGGGCAATAAAATGAGAAAAGCCCAACGGACCAAGTACAACCTTAACCTGCACAGCTCAGCCCCATTTTCTTTGTTTGTTTTTCATCTATTTATTGTACATCCCAGCTGCAGCCCCATCCCACCCTCCAGTCCCTTCCTCTTCTGTCTCCATTTAGGAAAGGGCAGGTCTCCGTGAGTATCAACAAAACATGGCATATCAAGTTGGAGTAAGACTAAGCACCTCCCCATGTGTGAAGGCTGGGCAAGGTGACCCAGTATGAGGAGTAGGGTCCCAGAAGCCAGTAAAAAGAGTAGGAGATGGCCCCTATTCCCGCTGTTAGGAGTCCCACAAGAGGACCAAACTACACAACTGTCACATATCTGCAGAATGCCTAGGTCAGTCTCATACAGCGACCCTGGTTGTCAGTTCAGTCTCTGTGAGCCCCTATGAACCCAGGTTAGTTGATTGTGTGAGCCTTCCCACAGTGTCCTTCACCCCTCTGGCTCCTACACTCCTTCCTCTTCCTCCTCCTCCTCCTCCTCCTCCTCCTCCTCCTCCTCCTCCTCAGGATTCCCGAACTCTGCCTAATGTTTGGTTGTGGGTCTCTGCATCTGCATCCATCAGTTGCTGAATAAACGCCTCTCTGGTGACAATTGGGCCAAGTACCAATCTGGTCACAGGAGACAGCCAGCTCATTCTACATATCCACTATTGCTAGAAGTCTAAGCTGGGGTCCTCCCCCATAGACTCCTGGTAGATTATCCTGTGCCAGGTTTCTGCCCAACCTTGAAATGCCCCCCCAGCAGTCTCCCTCAGCACTCTCTCCCTCCCTGCCCCCAAGTCACGTTCCTGTTCCCACCTGTCCTCAGTCCACTCATGAAATCTCTATTTCCCCTTCCCAGGGAGATTTATCAGTTCCTGTTTATTAATCAGTGTGGTGGGTAGTGTTTTAGCTAGTATAAGGGCCTTAAAGGACAGAGATGGCCATCATAGACATGGACTCTAGGGGACTTTGAGAGACAGAATAGCTATTTTCTAGAAATCATTGGCACATAGCTAAACTTATTGGATATTTCTATGAAACTTTGTCTCTTATCTAAACCCCTCCAAACCTCTTCTTCTTCTACTTTTTTTCTTTTCCTTCTTTCCCCCCCCCCTTGTTTCATTGTTCCTTGTTGTTTGTTTGCTTGATTTTTGAGACAGAGTCACATGTAGCCCAGACTGGATTCAAATTCAAGTATGGCCTTGACCTTCTACTCCTTCTGCCTCTACCTCCTGAGCTCTGAGAACACATGTATGCATCACCACACTCAGTTTCACTCAGTGCTGGGAAAGGAATCCAGATGTTTGTCCATGGTAGTTGTGGTGGTTTGAGTGAGAAATATTCCCCCATTAGACTGGGTATTTGAATACTTGGTTCTCAGTAGGTGGGTCTGTCTGGGGAGCTTTAGGTGGTGCAGGCTCGCTGGAGAAAGTACGTCATCCAGGGTGTTCTTTGAGATTAAAAGGCTTTCAACACTTCTGCTTTGCTTTCTCCTCTTAGTGTTACATCTGAAGACGTGACCTCCCATCATCCCATTCCAGCTGCTTTGCCTGCCACTTGCTGCTGTCCTTTCCTGCTATGATGGACTGATATCTCTGAAACTGTAAGCCAAAAGAAGCTCCTTCTTATATAAGTCATCTTGGTAACGATGTCTTGTCTTAGCAGCTGAAAAGTAAGTAATACAGAAGTTGGTACCAGGAGTGGGGTATCGCTGTGAAGATCCTGACCACATTGTTCTTTTGGAGGGATGTTGAAAACTTTGTAACTTTGAACTAGAAGTTGAAAGCTGTAAACAGCAGTTTATGGGCTGTTGTATTGTGTATTTGTTCCGTCCAGGACCTTGAGTTAGCTGGCCCAATAGAGGCAATGCTTCTTGCCTGCCTATGTGACCTCTTAAAAGGGAAGGGGGAAGGGGTCATGAGCTCTCTCTTGGATGTGGAAGGTTTCCTGGTGCCTGGTTAGGCCACCTGGTCTGGAGCTTTCCCCATCTTTCCCTGAGAGATTGTATCAGTGAGTCTATTTTTTTCCCATTGAGTCCCTTCAACCCCTGGCCCCTTCCCTTTTAAGAGGTCACAGTAGGCAGGCAAGAAGCACCATCTCTATGGGGCCAGCTATCCCAAGGTCATGAGTGGAGTGAATGCCCACTCCAGGCTATCTCCTGGAAGCCTAGAAGACAGTCATACTGAGAGTGAAGCTGATTGTAGAGACACAGTTGAAGAGGTTTCAGAGGAAAGCAAGGACTTTAACAATGAGGCTAGAGGCAGGCAGCCAAATTTAGCAGTGTCACCCACAAGGTGCTATCTTTGGAGTCATGAAGGATACACAAGTAAAGGGGTCTTATAGCCTTCCTCGGCAGTTTCAGAGAGCCACTGAGGCCAGGCATGTGGCAGAGGAGTCCCTGCACAGAGGCCCTGAGAGGCCATTGTGTAAAACTATGAGATATAGTCTTCATCTTATTGGATACCCTAGGATGCTAGAGATGGCCAGAGCTCTGAGACATCCACCAAGGACAGCTGAAGACAGGGAGTGGGACGAGCTAAGACAAAGACTTACAACAGAGCTAGAAGGGAGGAGCCATCTGAGCTCTTTTTCATCAGATACAGAGATGTACGAATTGGTATTTTGCCCGTTGGGTTTTTGTCTTGCTTTGGTCCAGCATTTGCCCACCGAAATTCCCTTTCCTCCCTTTTGGAATGATAATGCATATTCTTCATCATTCTATGTTGGTTGTATGTGGTTTACTTTTTGATTTTACAGGGGATTAAAATGAAGAGATTGCCTTGAGTCTCAGAAGAGAATTTGAACTTTGGATTTTTTTTAAAACAGTGTTGTGACTGAAAGCCTATGGGGGCTTTTGAAGCTGGTCTAAATTCATTTTGAACTGTGATATGGCCATGAGACTATGGGGGCCAGGAAGAGGAATGTGGTGGTTTAAATGAGAAATATCCCCCATATTCTTGGGTTTATAGTGTGTGGACTTGTTTGGATATATTTTACTATCATAGCAACAGAAAAATAATTAAGATAGACATCTATTAAGTGATTTCAACATCCAGGATCATTCAATAAACAACGTCCTAAAGTCATGGTTAATTTTTTTTTTGGAAAAGAAAGTCTACAAAGTGGGCAAAAGTAGCTTTCTATGCAAGTATGAGGAGCTAAGTCCAGTTTTCAGCACCCATAAAAACCTGTGTATGGTCACATGCCTATAACCTCAGCATTGAGGTAATGGCAATAGCAGATTCCTGGAGCTTGCTAGTTGCCAGCCTGGCTCCAGACTCAGTCCAAAGCCAGGTCTCAGTAAACTAAGGTGGAGATTGACAGAACAGGACAACTGACATCTTTCTCTCCTTTCCACACCTGCATGTCTGTTCATGAGCACCTGCATACATATATACGTATATACACACTCTATGGACATAGATCACTCTCTCACACAAAATAAAGAATTGAAAATATGTATATGAAACTTTGGAATATGAGTATGTTCTTCACAAAAAATAAAGCAAGTCATAAAATTATTCTTAAAGATTATTCTAGATATTAAATTTGCAATATCCACATCTTGGAAAGACTCCAAATATGCTAATGGATTACCCATGGTAGGTTGGGTTATATTTTAACTTTTCTTTATATTTGTGGTGTTTAGATACTTTCTACATCCAATACTCAGAAAATAATATAATATAAATTTTTCTAAAGCAGAAAATCTCAGCTTTGTGTAATGACAAAATAGAAACAGAAAGACTTTCCCACACACTACAGTTACATTTTAAATATCATATTTCTTGTGAGCTTTGAATCATTAGTATGTCACCTTGGAGAGCTAAGTCTGCAGTTCAGGAAAAAGCAGAAGTAGCATTTTACTGCATCTTGCAAGCAGATCATAAGCATTCAGACAATTTTTTACTTAAGGAAGATAAGATTTTGTCACTTCCTATCTTAGTCACTTGGAGCTTTATGACAAAGTGACAGAGACTGGGTGTCTCATACACAACAGAGAATTATTTCTCATAACTCTGAATGTGGAAGCCTAAGGTCCAGGTTGGGCTTTTTGTGAGGGCCTTGGGCTTCTGATTGTACAAGAACAACTTCTTGTAGCCTCACATGGCAGAAAGCAGCTGAGAAAGCCCCCTAGGGTGTTTATACAGGCAAAGTACTCAGGACCCACTCACTTCCAATGGTGCGACCTCCTAATATCATTACACTGGTGGTGGATGGCTTCAACATATAAATTTGGATGATACATATTCAATCCATCACTCATGAAATACTAGACAGAAACAACTTAAAGAACCAATTTATTTGGGCTCATAGGTATTGGAAGACCCCAGTCTATCATCAGGGAAGCCACAGTAGAATTGATGATGATAAGACCAGGAAGTATAGAGCAATCAAGGCTAGGCTATAACTTCCAAAGACCCCTGGTGACACAATTCTACCAGCTAGGTCTCAGTGTCTAATGGTTTCACGGTCTCTCCAAAGAGTACCACCAGCTGGAGAACAAGCACTCACACCCGATCTTAGGGCAAAGGTAGAGGCTCATAGGATGAAGTGTTTGTTGCACTACACGAGGACCTGACTTTGGATTCCCTGTACTAATGTAAAAAGCCAAACATGGCATCCTGCATCTGTAATCTCAACACTAAGAGTCACTAACAGGAGGGTATCTAGGACTTGCCGTCCAATTAGCATAGGACCAGAGAGCTCTAGATTCAGTGAGAGACTCTGTCTCAAAAATAAAATAAAAGATATATAGTAATAGAGAAAGACAATGTACATCAAACTTTGTCCTCCACAGATGTACATACTTGCAGAGGAACCTATACACACACACAGAATCACATATGCAATGTACACACACACACACACACACACACACACACACACACACACACACACATACACACACTATCTTAGCTTTAACTATCAACTTGATGCAGCCTAGATTCATTTGAAAAGAAAGCCTCAGCTGAGGAATTATATAGATGGAATTATTCTATGGACATATCTATGAGAGATTGTCATAATTATTAATGGATGCAGGAGGTCCGAGACCACTGTGGGTGGCACATCCCTGGCCAGGTGGTCCTGAGCTGCACAAGGAAGTGAGCAAGTGACCTAGAGAGCAAGCAAGCCAGCACAAGCAGCATCCTTCCATGATTTCTGCTTCAGATTTCTGCTTTGAGTTCCTGTCCAGCCTTCCCTCAGTGATGGACTGTTACCTGGAACTGTGAGATAAAATCAACCTTTTCTTTCCCAAGTTGCTTTTAGAGGGCTTACAGTAATCAAATGAGACTAGGTCAATAAGTCTTTGAGGGACATTCCGCATTCAAACCACGATAGATCATTACACTTATTTTAGAAAAATAAATACCAATTACTTAAATATAACAGAATGAACATGCTATAGTACACTTGTTATTGTAGCATACATCAGTGTATAGGGCCTAAAATGACCTATTGTTCAAAGCAAAAGAATACTATGAAAGATATAAGCAAAGACATTTACATCTCACCCTGGCTTATTTTCCTGGCCTAACCAAAAGTCTACCCAGTGGATGTAAGCTGACCTTCCTGACAGATTCCCCAGAACTGAAGTGGTACTGACCATGTGTCCACGTTGACAAAACCGTAGACCTGTCTTCGTCCATATTGTTGTCACAATAGATGCCACTGACTTACACTTGGTCTTCCTTTTAATGTGCACATGCCAGAGAGGGGATGTTTAACCCAAGGGGTTGGCTAAGTCTGTAGCTCTTGGTAGAGTTTTATGCCTAGTGAATTAGTTACTTTTCTGTTGTTGTGATAAAATGACATGATGACAGAAACTTACGATGTGAGGACTTTATTTTAGCTTATTGTTCCAGAGGGATGAGAGTTCGTTATGGTGGGGAGGCGTAGCAGCCAACTGCGAGGAATGGCAGCTGAAAGAGAGAGCTGAGAGCTCACATCTTCAGATGCAAACAAGCTGAGAGAGAATGCTGAAATCGGCACGAGTCTAGTAAGTACCACACTTCCTCTAACATGGCTGTGTCACCTAAACCTTCCCCCAAGAGTACCACACACTGGGAATGAAGTATTCAGAAACCAAATTCCATGGGGGACATTTCTTATTCAGCCTACCACATTCTAGTCCCTGGACCCACTAGGCTCGAATATTATATAGTGCAAAATGTGTTTAGTCCAACTCCCCCAACCCCCATAGTCTTTCACAGTCTCAACACTGTTGAAAAATCCAAAGTACAAAGTCTCTTTGAAACTCAAGGCATTGTCTTTATTGTACCTCTCTATAAAATCCAAGAGCAAATTACACACTTCCAAGACAGAATGGCACAGAGTACACATTGCCATTCTGAAATCAAGGAATGGGGCCATAGTGGGGGAAATATTGGACCAAGGCAAGACAGAAAGCCACCAGAGCAAACCCTGTAGCTCCTTGTCTGATGTCTGCGACTTTAATTTCAAAGGGTGTAGATGGCTCTGCCCCTCTAGGTTTACTGCCTGTAACACAAATCTGTTTAGAACTGCTTCTACTCCATGCATGGAGTTTTTCATGGTGGATATCTCATAACCCTGGCATCTCCATTATCTTGGGAAGTCTCCACTGCAACACAGGCTTCACTTTACAGCGTCATGCCAAGTCTTCTTGGAACTTCTCTGAGCCTTCATGAAGGGACTCCCTGCTAGAGAACACCCGACCTCAGTGGCTCTCTGAAGAATCTTCTCATGGAAGAGAGTCTATGACCATTCACACTTGCATTCTCCATGCCTCTAATATAGCACCATTTGAACGACACTGTCAAGTTTAGCTCCCATCCTGGGATGGTCCCTGGATCCACTGATCATATTAGCATCGATGTTTTTATTTAGTTGCTCTCTAGGAGCCCAAACCCCTTCAGTGTTCTTTCACAAGTTGGGAGGTTACCTGGGCAGAGTCTTGCTCTAAGAGCACCCTTCCCTTTATTCCAGTGCAGAGAAGGCCTCTCTTTAATGACATTGAT